CCGGGGAACCAGCATTGCTTGAGAATCTTCAAGTCGTTGGGCTCGACATGTGGCCAGTCCCAGATGGTGGGGGAAAAGGATCGCCGGTGTTCGTCGAGGGCGAGAGCCTGAAACGCGTACTCGATATTCGACTCGACCCGCGTATCAACAAAGGCGAAGTCCGTACTGGGTGGCTGGGGCAAGAGCCCGATCATGGGGATACCCAGTCCACCGACAGTATCCCAGACGGCGACACATTTGACCTTGATATTCGGCCGTGTTAGACCTTTTTCGATGAGCTGGCGCTGGTAGTGGGGATCGGTGACTGGGGGTTTGTGGCCATCGAAGGGCAGATGTGGCCACTTGGTCTTGAAGTCCTTCTTCTGCTGAAACTCCCAATCTTCGAAGACCTGGACGAAATATTCCAGGCCTTTCGACGTGAGCAGACCAGCCGCATTGATCAAGCTCGAGATTGAACGGGCGGTGAAAGCCCCTCGTGAGAAGCCCAGCAAGAAAATCTCATCTCCGGGGTTGTAGTTCAGGCAGATGAAGCTGTAGGCTTCTCGAATGTGCTCCGCCAGCCCTTCACCTGTGGCGCCTCCGATGAATCTATCATACAACGACGGGGAGCCGGTACCAATGCCATTCTGATAGAAGACGACCTGGGCGATGGGCTGATGGGGAGTAGTGGACTTGTCGACGCCTACGGGAGGAATGGCTCTGGCGATTCGGGTGACGTTGCTGGGAGTCTGGTAGTCGCCGTCACTGTCGAGCCAAGTGCCGTCGCAGCACACCACGATGCGTTTCCTGGGCTCTAGGGGTGCCATGGTGTCTGGAATGCTGGTCAAGGAGAGGCTCAACGGTTAAATGACATTCACCTGAATAACTGGTATTCCGTAAAATGGTTGTTGTGAACCGGCGGACAATTCTGGCAGCTGGCCACGCAAGCCTTTTTACGGTCTTACAGGGCGAAAAAAATGGTTACTCGGAGGGGCTGAAAGGGTTGATATATGGTGGCCCAGCTGCATGCACCTCGTGGATTCTGTGTCTCAACACGAACGACCCTCCCTTCTCTTTCAGCTGATGGGCTTTTGTGCACGGTCAAACTTCAGCCTCCAGCATTGGCACAGGTTGGCAGAGGTGCGAGTCGCCTTTAGAATGTGGCCCAAGAAGCAGCCGAAAGGCAAGCAAGGCCCAGAAAGGTGCAGAACGGTGCCTCTGCATGCAGCTGAACCAACGAGAATCGAGGCTGGCGACACACAGCATCCCATTTGGGCACTTCTCTTATTTCTCGTCGAGGGCTAGCCATTGCCTGCGGCCGCGCGGCGCATCTCAATTGGCGGATAAGGTTACAGGGAGGGGAGGGAGGGGAGTTCAGCCCCGGATCAGGTCGATCAAAGTTGCCTAAGAGTAGCTTAGGGCGGGATGAGCAGGCGAGAAAGCGGTAAGGAGGTCAAGAGGTCAAGTGGTCAAGTGCTGAGGTGCTGGGGCAGTAAGGCGTCCTAAGAGTCCTTCTTGTTCCCATCCTGGGCATCCCCTCTACCAAGTACAGCTGCTCCCCGAGTCTCCTTAGGCCACTGGGGCTACCAAGCCCAAAGCAACCACAGCCAGCCTCCTCATATAATGTTATAAACATAGCAGCCTCGCCAGCCTCACCACACCCATCTCTGCCTGCAGCAGAATGCGGTCACTGCCCAGTACTGGCTCGCTGGCAAAGAATTACATCGTGTCTCGGCTCTTGGTCGAGGTCCTGAGACCCCTAAATCTCTTCTCTTCATTTGTTTTAGTTCACTGTCTGTCTGTCTGTCGGGCTGCCTGATCGTTTGCTTCTAATGAGATTCAAACCACCCAGTGTGCCGCCTGATAGCTATGTACAGTTACGCAAATCTGGCCATTCTGGCCTTGTTGGCCCTCCCCCATCCTCAACGACCAATCTCTGATGACCAATGTCGTCTCTCCGCCCGACTGCTCCAAACTCCAGCAACGATACAGTTGTGGTCCGTAGTTGTTCAGAGACATGCAAGAAATCCCTGTTGCCGACGCCCATGTCAAAACGCTCGCTCTTCATCCAGCCCAGCCCAGTCGAGACAATCAACTCTGCAGGAAACACGGACGCTCTGATGCTACTTCGCGCTGTGCCTAGGTTAGTTCTCATCACCACGTCTGTTGTTACCTCAGCTTGTACAATCTCACAGCGAAGCTGTGGATACCTTCATTTCTTTTTGGCATTTTTGCATTTTCACCTTTTTTTTTAATGTGTGGTGTTTTGACTGCAATTTTTGCTCGAAGACATGTGAATACTCTGTTGGAGTGAACATGTCGGCAGGATCATATGGTAGTCTGTCACAAATGATTCGTCCGACGCTCTTGAAGATGAGATGTACCGCACGGTGACGCATCCATGGTCAGGCGGGTGCGGCAGCGGGGGTTGGTGTGGCGGTAGCTGTCATCAGTCGTTGTCGTTTCACGGAATCGCCGTCAGTCTCGGCGTCCTGCAAAGGGGTGAGCATGAAACCTGTAAGATCCTATGGGGCGAACATACCTCGACGTCATTGATGCTTCGTCGGACTGGCTTGGCCTCTGCTTTGGTACTCTTAATGACCTTCTTGACTGGTTTGCTCGGTCGGACTTCGCCGGCCTTTGCATCGAAGACATCTTCTGGTAATTCCCAACTGTTGCTGTCAGTACTTCTCCGGAAAGCAGAACGCTAGAAAGAGCATACCTCTTCGAGGACGCGAGATTGAGGAAATGAACTTCTGAATTGAAACTCGACCACCCCTCGCACACTTGCTTGAAGGCCTGGAACGCCTGAACGAGGTTCAAGCTGCCTTTAGCAACCGTGTCAATGCCAATATAGAATGTGTAGGTGTAAACCGTATGCGCATCCGTGTCCATCTTTTGATCGACATTGTCCGACAGGGGAATCGCGGCCCCGTCCCCGTTGGTCGTAACCAGTTCGGGATCGGTCGTCTCAACAGTCTTCGTCTCTTCCACTTTGTACTTCATGCTACCTCTCTGTACCTCACGGATTTGATCCGTGTCCTGGCACTTATGGATGCGTTTGAACCCCTTGGTGAATGGTCGAGCAAGTTCGATGCCCTTTGTGCCCTCCAGCTGCATGACAAAAATCCGAACTTTGGATTCGACAAGACCAGCCCATGCCTTGGCCGCATCCGCGTTCAACGCACTTGCGATCACACTCAAGTAGTATTTGTGGTCCGCGGTGAAGAAGGTGTGCTTCTGGAACAACTCGCTCCACTGGGCTTTGCCGGCAAAGATCTTGTTGGCTATCTTGTCAGCCCTCTCCAGCTCACGGAGGATGACTGTTTTGCCCGACTTGGAGATATTGTAAGTTGCACACATACTCGGGAACGCCGGTGTGATGATGGGCATGATATTCTTCTCGTCACCTTTGTAGAGCATCGGGTTCCACACTTTGAAGCCATGGTTTGGTCCTAGGTTCTTGGGTTGCTCAATATCCTTCAACATAATCGGTAGAGGCCAAGGCCATTCTTTCATGATGTAAAAGAACTTGCCGACAATTGTAGCACCGATCGCTGCAGGGTAAAGTTGACAGACGCGCGCAACAAGCATAGCCCAAGCGACACCGCCGGGATAGCCAACAATATTGGCATAGATAGCTCTTCTCTGCGCCCACAACTTGATTGCCCGCAGCGCCGTTCGGAAGGTTTTCTCGACGGGGACGAGGCTGAGGATCTCATCGGTGACACGCTGGACTCGTTAGCTGGGGGCCGAATTCACGGGAGAAGGGACGTGTCCGAGACTTACAGGGCCAGTAACTGCACGAATAGACGCCTGATCCAACCCGATCAGGAGACTGTTGTCGTTCAGGCTGAGGTCTGCAGGAATTTTCTGCAGAGTTGCTATTGACGCAAAGATGAGATCGATCTCTATGCCATTGAGCACGAGTTTGATGATGGGAACGAAGGAGTCAGGCACTGGAACAAGTGAAGTAATAGCGCCAGGTTCAACCTCCTTTTTCAAGACTGCGGGGAATAACTCGAAAAAGTCTTCGCGCTTCACATGCCTTGGAGCGACGGCAAGGGTGTCGATATCAGAGCCTAATCGCTGTCAGCATCATGTCCGCACAGCAATATCAAACTCTCTTACCGGGTCCGTATACACCGAGGCGATAGCTGCCATATGAATAGACTTTGCCGCCGAACTGATTGATCTGAGACGCAGGGAGTCCCTGTTTCCGACTGACCTCACGTACAAATTCTTGAGTGACGCTGTTCAATAGTTTGAGTGTCTTAATTCGGATTTTTGTCTCCTCTAGCGACTCGTAGTTGTTTTCCCTCTTCAATTCTTCGATTAGGTCGGCAGTCTTCTCGTAGTCCAGAGGTTCGGGGAGGGCAGTGGACATCGGTCCGGTAATGCCATGCTTAGGCTCCTTCAGTTTCGAGTCGGTCATTGCGAGTGCCGGGATTGACCTTGTGGTTTAAGCCGGCAATACTGTATCTCGTCCGTGGTTTTGCGATCGGGTTTGTCGGTGGAGTAATCGATCGTCAGGCAACCGCAAATGGTGTCTGGCCGTCGCAGACAAACGAGGAATCAGTGGGGCAAAAAGAGAAAAAGAAGGCGTGAAAGAGGTAAAGACATCTTCACCATCCCCAAACTCCAAAAGAGAGATGAAAGTGAAAAAAAAACCTGGGACCGAACGACAAGGGCGTGGTGAAGTTGACGTGAGGTGAATATACGAACGCAACGTTCGACCTGGCCGAGGGGGTCAACTGATTGGCAGTCATGTGCAAACGGTGCAAACTGCACAAACTATGCAAACAATATAAACCAAGCAGGACAAGTTCAGCCACCGAGTGCCAAGTATTCTTGGCAGGTCTATATCGTCTCGGTCAAGTTGGTATCTCGGCGGCATAAGTGGCCTTTTCTCAGATGAAGGACAAGCTCAGAATATGTATGAATCATCATATGTTTTGCTCTATTGATTCAGATTTCAAAACTTTGAAGGTCTTGGTCCTCACATCCACGGCCATTCATCTCTACAATTTGACTTCCTTCAGCTCTCCACTGTGAAGATCGAAGACAAATCCCCGGATGCTTGGTTTCAAAGACTCTCGAACCAGAGGGGATTCTTTCAAGAATTTCATGCTCTTCTTCACATTGTTCTCGATTGAACTGCCAAATCAGGGTCAGTCAAGCGAAGTAGCTGCATGGATCCGTTGACTTTACCCCGAGAACGCGTGAAATGCCATGCTGTTAATTTCTGCCCACAGATTCGGGGCCCGCTTCCTGAGTTCCTCTTTGACCGCGTCATCTCTGTACATTGTTGCTCCGCAGTCTGCAACGAGTGATATTAGGACGCAGGAGCACTGTACTGATTTGGATCGACCTACTGGTGTGCTGGACAATGATGACGTCGGTGAAATTCAGGAGTGTGTCGATCGAAAGGAGAGAGGTGACGGCGAATTCGGCATTTCCGCCAGCAACGCGGCAAACTACTGCCTCTACACAATCATGGTCAATCAACAGTCGTTGACCGTGAATCGAGAAATCGATTTACCTCCAGTGTGTAAGTTGAAGATGTTCTCCGGAATGCATCGTGGATCGGCGCAGGTGACTTCGAAGCTGGTCAGCTCATCCTTTTACAGCAATCCCAGACCCTGGTAGAACTTACTGATGAGGATGTGAGGCAGCTCCTGGCCCTGCTCTTGAATTTCAGCAAAGGAGGGAATCGGCTTGTGCTGGCTGAAACTTGATGCATGACGGTCGATCAGGGCCTGGGCTGTCAATGTTTGGGTCATTATGACTGATGATTCTTTGATAATGGTCCTGGACTTTAGTCGAGCTATGTGATATGATTGCTGGTATTGGAAGTCCCTGAGGATGTTTGGCCTGTGGTTGTCTTTCGAACCCTTCTGATTTCGAGGGGGCATCGCTCCTTTCTTATAGGTCGCGAGTTCATTTGGTGAATGGAGTGCTCTTGGATGGTTTGGTTTGGATGATTGACCCTTTCACCATCGCGGTATCACCATCGTCAAAAACCCCATTCTGATGTTGAATAAGCAGGATACGATGACATTGCAGATTCCCAATCCAACAATGCTGGATTGGAAATTGTCGGCGCTGCTTCGATTGGTGTCTGAAGCGGCACTGGTTATCCCAGCTGGCCTGGTTTTGCCTTGGTTAGTAAAGCGACCTGTGCACCATATGTCCTCCATACACGACATACTGCTTTAAAGCGGCATTGCATTGTAGCCGACGCCTATCCTTTTTCAGGCAGCTGAAGCCCTGTTCAGACTAAACCATTTCAAGGCCTTCGTACCCTTGTACTTCAGAGCTCCGTTTCCTCACAATTCTCCCGATCTCGCCGCCATAGGACTCTACTGTTGGTGCTCGAGACAGACCCCCGTCCGCCCCTTCTGTCCCTGTCGAACCCTGCTCTTCTGATAAAGAAGCTTAAGATAATGGTACAGTTCATCCACCAGAATCCCAAGAATCTCACCTTGAGCGACGCGGATCGCCGGATTGTGCGGAAAGTTTCCAACAGAGCGGCAGCAGCGACACGGAGAGCCAAAGGAACAACAGCAAGAACCAACACCTTACAACTACCAGACTTTCTAGTCACTGAAACGAAAGCCGTCATTGATCCCAGCCCTCGTGCACCTCCCGCTCAAGAGACTGCTGAATGTATCCGGCTTCAGCAATCCAAGCAAGTGCCATTCGATCAGGCCCTTGCGCTTTGCCGACACCTTTCTCCTGTAGGCCGACCGGCCAAACGGAGCTACAATGCTTCTATTGCATCGCCATTGCCTCTCTGGCCAAACAAACGCAATTCTCCCGAATACCTATCCTTCCTAATGCAGCCTGGTCTATCCCAGAAGCTACTTCTCGATGCTTCGAGTGTGGGCGTAAACTCCGACCCACGGCGGTGGGTGAAAATATGTCGGCTAACGGCAATCTTGCAATTTCTTCCTCGAATGATTGGCCACAGCCAGTGCCTAGATTATGCTATCGACTGCCTTGCCGAACGTGTTCGTCAGTGTTGTATTCAAAGCCTAGACAGAGAGCTGGCCCTAACTCAACTGGAGAAGCGCTACGGCCGCGCCCTGCAATGTCTGCAGAACGCCCTCAACTCGTCGAGAAGCATCGATTGGACTGTGTGGTATACGACACTATTGCTAACTCTGTTCGAGGTAGGGTCACGCAACGGCTCTTTGTTGCGTGTGACTATGGCTGACCGTTGATACGCACAGCTACTCGACAACTCGGGCCATCACGCATGGATTTCGCACTCCCAGGGCGCAAAGCACATCTTATTGACACTAGGTCCAAACAAGATTAAGACAGAGTTCGAAAAAATCCTTCTCGCAGCGCAATGCCAGATTATGGTAATCAAAGTAGCCCGTTGGCCTCTCGAGGCTTGTTCTAACTCTTATTGGTAGACCGTTGAAGCAACTTTCATCAACCAAGACTGCTTTCTGAGCAGCCCAACCTGGCAGCAAGCTCTTCAGTCGACAATAACCCATAATTGCCTTCTCCTAGATCGTTCAGAACCAGTCCTGACAATGTGGATGATGACGACTCGTGCCCCTGAGTTGTACAGGAGATGCACAGATGCCATCTTGCAGTGCCACCCTCCCGAACAGAATGCGAGGATTGCAGCCGAGCTATGTGCCCTAATTAAAGAATACTCCGAATGGAGGGAAAAGTGGGAGGAAATCTTGGTTGGCAGCGGCAACTCCGGACATGATAGCAGCTACACTGATGAGGCGGCTTTGGCCGGGGCTGGCCCAACAATTTATCCCATATTTCTGGCCTTCTGGGCTCTGACCAACCGGTTTCTCGTTGCCATACAGCCATCCCGAGCTCCCGGAGCTGAGACTAATGCAATCAACGCAGCTCTACACATAATCGAATTCGACCGGCTCCGAGAGACCGATTCAGTGATAGATTTGTGCAGAACCTTTCCGGCAAGTATTGCTCGCTCGATTAAGCTCACAACCTCGGAATGGTCAATGCAAGAGCATGTCTCTCGCACATCCCAGACGATCGAGCCGCGAATATTTCTGTACTGGTGTACCCTGCTTGGGCGGGCGACAAAGTAAGGGACACCGTCATGCAATGGGAGAAGCAAGCATATATTCAGGCACTAGTGCACAGAAGAGAGACCGCAATACCCCCTTCAGGTATTGAATGTGATGCTCCTGAATATGAATGTTTCTGCACAGGACCTCCCCAACGAGGGATGCAGGACTGGAGTACACCATCTAGGGCAAGTTTAAGCTGGGACCTGGTCGTTCGCGGGTTCTTGTAAGGCTGCATTGTCTCTGCGTCTCTCTCACAAAATCTCCCGGGCCTCAAGGGGTTCTTACACTCTATACCGATCAAGGGAGGCCGGTATAGTTCCTCTTTTGACTCTCAGGCAGTCTATCTTGCTTGCACTGACCAGATGCAAATGCATGCCGCCACACTTTCGTCGTGGAGCGGGCTGGGCCTCCAATCACCGCTAGTTGACTCGACACCGGCTCGCTCCATCATTAGCTCCTTCCGCGCTTGTTCAAAACTGCCACAACTTGCCGACATCAAGCTGGAGCCGGGCAACCCAAAGGGTTGAGTTGTTTATCAGCCTAACCGGTCAATACCTGCTACCATGAGCGGATTTGCACAGATTGAATAAACTGTGATCGAAGCACTTACAGCCCGTCCCAATACTCTCCGTCTTGCAGTGGTAGCATGACCGCTGCTCTAAAGGCCTAAGCCAGCAACACCTCCCAAGGACTAGAACGCGCGATCCGAAGCGACAAAACCGCTGCAACATGGATATCGCTGTCAAAGCAGATCTCGACCTCGATGACAGGGGCGCTCTGCGCGACGGCTGTATAATGATATTCTATGAGCGATCAGTATCGCGCATGTCCGCTTGCGATGCTGCGGCAACAGTTGGTGTGACCCTGGCTGATGTCTCGACCAAGATTTATGCTCCTCGAGCCTCCTGGCAGGCGCGCATTCTCTCCGTTGAGCCCGTTTCTCCAGGCGAGCCGCTAGTTACCCAGCGTCTCCCTATCGACATTATTTATTTTGACGGCTTTTTATCATTAAAGGTCGCAAAAGAGTCTTCTACGAGACATTGTCATACAGCTGGGGTCACCCAGAGTTCAACTTCAAGATTAAATGAAACGAAGACTTCCCAGTGAATCCACTGTGTATCAGACATTGCAGCGCCTTCGCCGTACAAACGAATGTCAGCATTTGTGGATTGATGCCAATGTCATCAATCAGCTTGATCTTGGGGAAAAGTGATCGGCAGGTCCAGAGAATGTTTGTCGTCCTCAAAAAGGCCTCTAGGGTCATCGCGTGGCGCGTGGCTGGGAGAGGAAGAAGAGTGCGACGGCTTAGCAGGAATGGGTATCCCCTGAAGCGCCGTGCTGTGTCAGAGGTACTTGGTTCCCGGCTCTGATCTTCGGTCTTTTATGCCCGTTCTTCCTTGCTGCCACAAAACTAGCTTGCGTAAAGTAGGAAGCCTTTGCCGCCCAAGATATCATTGTCCCGGCAAGCTGATCTACGTTCAAATGGCATACAATACATGACATACCGACACAACTTCTAAGGGCAGCTGCCTGTAAACTAGGATTTCAAGACGGTCAGCTTGAATTTAATCAGATGCACCGCCTACGAAAAGACTCGGCAAAAGGACTGGCTCTGGTCGGCACAGATGTGATGGATCGTAAAAGGTATTCGAACTTTTACTCGGCACCAGACCGCCTCGATGATGTCGAGCTCTTCAGAATGTTACGCGAAAAATAGTGGTTTCAATGCCAATGAACCTCGTGACTTTGTCTACGGAGTGGTTTCGACGACAAGCATAAATCTCAAAGAGATGCAAGGCGAGTGCAGCAGGCAAGGGCAGAAGGCTTGGCTCTGCCAATCGACTACACCAAGAGTGAGAGTGAGGTATTTCAAGATGCCGGAAAGTATCTGATCGGCCGCGATGGGAAGCTGGATGTTCTTCTATTTGCGTGAGAATCAAGACATGCGGACGGTTTGATTCTGCCAAGCTGGACTCCTGACTGGCGACGTTTGGCCTGCTACAGCGGGACGCCGTGCTCGGGTATACAAGATGACTAACCATATCCAGGTCGGTCGCGAGAACCGAGTGCTTCTACGCAGAATTTTCAAGACACAGATGTATTGTGCCTACAGGGTATCGGCTGCAGCAGACTGGTCAAACCCCATCTGAGGCCCCAGCAAAGAAGACTTTGCAGATAACCCCCTTCATCTTCTTGATACATGTATTGGACTGCCCGACTATGAGGAACTCTGTTCGTTGTGCAACGATGGATATGGTGGACAAGGCCCCTTTTCTTCCGAGCGTGTTGAGAACAACCAAGCCGCGTTCTGGAGGATGACATCCGCAACCGACCTAGAGGAGTTCTGGCTACGATGTTGGCGACGTAAGCGAGCAAAGAAGAATCTCTCCCTCCAACCAGCAGGTCGTGATATGTCCTCCGTGCGAGTGTGGTGCCCTGGTGATCAATGGGATTGAGAAGTTGCGATTTTGCTCTTCTATACCTCGTATTTCGTTGTTTCTTTCTTTCGTCCCTTCCTTTGTTGTTTCTTTTTGTAAGACATAGTAATCGAAACCCCAAGCTGACTTTTGTCGGCAGTCAAAATGACCTAGGCCGTTTGTCACCCTCTGACGCTGTTGGAGTTTGTCATCAAATCAAAAAAAAAAAAAAAAAAAAAAAATCTACCCCCAGAAAATGGATGGAAGGAAGGATTCGAGCCAATACGTGTATGGAAT